CCCCCCCGTTTTCGAGGATGACCCACGTCACAGCCCCCCAGCTTCCACCTCATCATCCAACACCCAACGCCATGGCCAAGCCAAGATGAGACGTGTGACGAGGCGCAGCCCTCAGCATTGCCCGCAGCCTCCCTCCTCCTCTCCCTAAGCTTGACCCTTTCTTCCTTCCGATGCAAAAACTCAATGGCAAAAGAGTGCATGAAATCAAATAAATAGGCCCCCCCTCCCCGGCCCTGTGAGCTCCCCCTGAGCCTCCAGCACGGGGGACCTGGGCCAGCAGCATGTCACTGCTCCAGGACCACCCCACGCAGGAGCGTGCCCATGCCTGCTCTGGGCAGGGTACCGCAGCTTTCCCGCGGGCAGGCATGACCGTGGCATCCCTGGCCACTGGTGAGCATGTGGGCGGCCGAGACGCTGTCCCCAGGGCCGCAGATCAGGTACCCATCCCTCCATCACCAACCCCCTTCTCACTGCTCGGTAAGAAAACCTGCCTGGAGCCCCTCAAGGAGCCCCGCAGTGGAGGTGGCCTGGGCGTGTGGGCTTGGCAGAGCTCAGGTCTCCACCACGATTTAGGGGTGATGAGCCCACTCTTGCCCTGGGGCAGGGTCCCCGTTCCTGACACTTCTACTCAGAGGACTCGTTTCCCAAGGTGGCTCAGAGAAAAGGGTCCCTTTCCAGAAAGGGATGCCCACCCAGGGGGTTCCCATACCACCAGCCCTCACCGCTCCATCACCCAGCCCAAGGACAAATCAAACCAGCACTGTCATGGCGGGGCACTGGGACCATCTGGAAAGGTTTCCCTTCTGGCTCCAAACCCCTGGACCTGCCTGGCTCCGGCTGCCTCTCCCACCCACCTGCCCTGTGTCCTCCAGAGGATGCTCGTGGGAGGACCCAGCAGATCGGGCACACACATGGGCTGGGGGCCCTACCCCGTCTCAATATTTGACCCTACGGTTTGTGTTTCATGTTTGACCTCAAGCTCAGACCGATGGCTCTAGCCCATCTTAACAAACAAAGGCAGAAGAGAAAGGAAAAAAAAAAAGTTAGTCTCAATGTTCCCCTCGTGGCTTCTCGGTGGGGAGTCCCCCCACCCTGGGGCGGGCGTCACCCGGGCACCCAGCTCTGGTTCGTGGGCTGCGGACCCCCGGGCAGCGCGGGCACGTTGACGGGAGAGCCGAGTCGAAGTTGAAGTCCATCTCGTCGCTGTCCATAAAGTCATTCAGGATGATCGACTCCACGTCGCACTCCAGGCTCCCATTGAACATGTCCAGGTCCAGGTCTGCTGGGAACCTGTCTTGGCCCAACACGGGGGGGTGGACGGCCCCCGGGTAGGGGCCCTGCAGTGAATCCAGCAAGCTCATGTGTGCCCCTTGGTTATTAGCGTAGGAATGCAGATGCCCGTGGTGCGGCATGGCTGTCATGCTGCACGTGTCACTGGGCAAGCTCATAAGGCTGACAGGATTAGCTAAGGCACTGGTGTTGACCCCAGGGTGGTGACCAGCTGGTGACGGGTGGTACAACGCGTTGCTCTTCATGAGAGAGCCCGAGTGGGATGGGTAGGGGGACAAACCCTGCTCCCCGCTCCCGCACAGCAGCGGGTTGTGTCTGTGGCCACGGGCCGGCACCATGGGGCTGGCCTGCGGCAGGGGCAGGTCCCCCGGGACCATGCTCTCCTTGTGCGCATAGGAGATGGAGGAGAGCAGGTCCTGCAGCGAGGCGTTTCTGTAGGAGCTGACGGGAGAGAAGGTGGCTTGCTTGTTCTCCTGGATAGTCTGCAT